GCAGGCAACAGTATTTATCAGTGTCCATGGGATTTCAGAGAGTGTCCTATAGCTGACTGGGGATCTTCTGGGGTCAGTGACATTTTTTTGAAGCCATTCATGTGTCAGTAGATGATTAGAAGCTCCTGCAAAGTGAATACCTTCACCAGAGCCATTGAAGTACAGTCTATTTTTAACTTTTGTGCCTTTGTGTATTTTAATGTTCAAGGAGAAAAAGAAGGGCTTAAGGATGAAGTTTAACCCTCCATGAGTCATGTTTCCTCTGCTGTTTGTTTTCCTCCTTTTTGTTGTTTGGCAATTGTGATTTTTATCCTCAACTTAGGGCCAGATCCTGAAATTACTTATGCGTGTGAATAGCTTCTCAGAATTCAACAGGGGGGCAAGGCTTTTGTGTGTTTGCATGGTTGGGGCTCGCATGGTTGGGGCTCACACGGTTGTTTTGTTGGAGACTGCGCCTTGCTTTAGCTTTAAAGGGCTATCCACAACATGGTTATTAATAAACTCTGGATTTTCTTGTAATTGCCGCAAGATCATGGTTTAGTATAACTTTTGAATTTTGTTTAAAATAAAGAAATCCTACAGAAAAATGGATTTTTTTTTTTTTGCAACATGATCGTAATGAATCCAGTCTCGTATAAGGCCCTGTTTTTAGGCATTTTTGCAAAGGGTAAATTTTTGACCGGGTGAATAAACTGTTGTGTTAAATATTCTGTCACAAAAGTATAATTATTCAGATTTTCTTTCTTCAGAAGTAATCCTCCTGAAGCTGTGATACAATTACTGCAGGATAGAATGTGTGATGAGATAGATATATAGAAACAAAACCTGGACTAAGTTAAACAATCCCATTTGTTTAATAAAATTGCCTAAATACAGGCTACACATTAATAGGGATTCGTACAGTCAAGTTGAGAAACAGTTCTTCAGTGAATTTTTCTGGTTTGGGTGTCCACTTGTGTCTTCAAGAGATGTCTCTGGTATATGCCATTTTTTTCTTTTATCAGGTCAAGTGCAATTAAACCACATAAGTTGTATGACAAAGCTTGGCTAACTCATTTAAGCCAGTTTTGAAGCAATATCTATATCTCTAAACTAGCATCTTTTTTGGCTTATCGTTACACTTATGTTTTAGAACTAAAATAAACATTGGAGGGATTTTTCTTTTTTTCCTATGGAGGAGTTAAAATCACTGAAGTAGAAGAACAGGCAGATAGTTCCATTGGTTGTGTTTATAAAGAGATTTGATGCACAAAATGTTCTGAAATATCGGTTACTTTGGGAGCAATAAGGATAGTATTCATTTTCTGAAAAGATACTGGGTACAGCAGTTAAAATTTCTGTGTTTTGGAAACTTAAGTTTTGTACAGTGATTGTCAAAGTTCTTCTGTGGCATCCTTCAGACAAGTAGCATCAGAATGGCTTGCTCATTTAAATGTTGCATATTGAGAGGGAGAAAGAACTGGCCCTTACTTATCCCGTATTTTATTTTTCAGAATTCAATTCGTCATAACCTGTCACTGCACAGCAAGTTTATCAGGGTGCAGAATGAGGGAACAGGAAAAAGTTCTTGGTGGATGCTCAATCCTGAAGGAGGAAAGAGGGGGAAGTAAGAGCCGCATCCATGGACAACAACAGCAAGTTTGCAAAAAGCAGAGGAAGAGCTGCCAAGAAAAAGGCAGCCCTTCAGACAGGCCAAGAAGGAAATAGTGACAGCCCAGGATCACAGTTTTCAAAGTGGCCTGCAAGCCCCAGCTCTCACAGTAATGATGACTTTGATAACTGGAGTACCTTTAGACCCAGAACTAGCTCTAATGCTAGTACAATTAGTGGAAGACTTTCTCCAATCTTGCCAGAACAAGATGACCTTGGAGATGGGGATGTGCACTCTATGGTATACCCGTCATCAGCAACCAAAATGGCTTCTACGTTACCCAGCCTTTCAGAGATGAGTAATTCTGAAAATATGGAGAATCTTTTGGATAATCTCAACCTTTTGTCACCTAGTACATCACTGACCGTATCAACCCAGTCTTCACCAGCTACACTGATGCAGCAAACACCAGGTTATTCATTTGCATCACCAACCACAAGTATAGGTTCACCAAATCCAGACTACCGAAAATTTACATATGCTCAAGCTAGCATGAACTCTTTGCCCCAGATGCCTATGCAATCTCTTCAAGACAGTAAATCAAGCTATGGAACGATCAGTCAATATAACTGTTCTGCAGGACTCCTGAAGGAGTTACTAACTTCTGATTCTCCTCCGCACAATGAGATCTTGGGATCAGTAGACACTGGTGTTCCGCAACCTACTGGTAGAGTGTTGGGCCAAAATGTGCTGATGGTCGCAAATTCAGTGATGTCTACATATGGTAATCAACCATCCCACAACAAAATGATGACTCCCAATGCTCACCCACACCCAGGACGTAATCAGCCAACAGTTGCAGTTAATGGCCGTGCCTTGTCACATACAGTGAATGCTATGTGTCACACTTCAGGTTTAAATCGTTTGTCCACAGTGAAAACTGCATTACAAGTGCCTATGAGTCACCCGATGCATATGAATACAATGAACCCTTATGCTGCTGTTAACAGTTGCAATGGCTATGGAAGAGTGGGAATTGTTTCTCTCCATCAGGAGAAGCTTCCCAGTGACTTAGATGACATGTTAATTGAACGGTTGGACTGTGACATGGAGTCAATTATTCGTAATGACCTTATGGATGGAGAAACATTAGATTTTAATTTTGACAGTGTGTTGCCTAACCAAAGTTTTCCACACAGTGTAAAGACCACCACACATAGCTGGGTGTCGGGCTAGGAGTTAGTGAAAGGTAAGTTCTCATACTTGTTTTAAAAAAAACCCTCTGAAAATGAGTTTAAAGGAAATGTACATATTTAGAATTGCTTACAGCTTTTTTGGTTTCCAGTGTCATGTACCTGCATCAATGGAGGTGAAAGATTAACCAGTTAATGAGTGATGCTTACCGCTTCCAGTTTTCTGGTAGAGGCTGGAGCAGCTCCCAGTCCACCGCAGTGGTGCTCCAGCCTAGCTAGAGCCAGGCCTGGGCACACTGTAGGCAGGTGCGGCTCCTGCTCGACTGAAGTGTCCCCCTCACCTGACCACCCTTAAATCAGTTAACAGGTTAAACATTGTTTTACCAGTTAACCAATTAAACAGAATTTTATATTCCTACCTGCATCTGCCATCACTTTATGTTGACTAATTTGCTAGCTTTTAATGAGTTTAAATTACATTACATCTGCAATGAGGATATCTAATATAGATTTCTAGCAGCTATTTGGGCAGGTAAAGTAGGAGTTTTGGACAACCTAGCCAGTGTGCGCGTGTGTGGGGGGAGGAGGGGAGGAGGAGGATAAAATATAAACATGCCCTTCCACACTATTTTTGTATCTATATTTAGCTATAGATATAAAAATAAATTGGAAGTGCATTTTATTTATTTATTTATTTGTGTGTGTGTATAAAAATACAAAAGTGGAAGTTTTTTCTTTTGACTAACTTAGTGGCACTTGTATTTTATCTCTGTTGTTTTTTGTGACTATTCATTTTGGCTTTTGTTTCATTGTGGCTTTTTCTGTTTTCCCCTCCTCTAGGCTACAATTTAAAGCTCTTCAGACTTGTGTGACAACAGGAACTGAGAAAAGTAGTCCAAAGATGTCCTTCGCCCTCCTTTTTAGTTTTCTTGATAAAACTGTTCTCATTTTTTCCTTTTGTCAGATTTGGCAGCAAACAGAGTTTTCCTGTACAGGATGTTTGCCCAGTGTTTGCAGGTTATGTGCTGCTGTAGATAAGAACTGTGCCATTGGAAATTTCATTATTCTGAAGTGCCAAATTCACTACACCATATAATCACAGAAAATACTTTTGCATCATTTTGTGCTTTCGGTTTTTGTACAGTATGAGCTGTAGATGGAGAATTGTTTTTTTTTTTTTTTTAAAGAATATTTGTTTGGTCCAAAAAAAGATGAACTTTTTGTAATACTGTGGTGGTCTCATGCTCTAAGTCAGTTTAATTTTTATGGACGTTACCCTGTGTTCTGCTGAACTGATGAATTGAAATAACTGTGGACTTTGTTTTGCAGCTATTTGAACTGCCTTGTATTTGTAAAAATTGCTACACATTTCATATGAGAAAAGAGAGGCCAGGTAAATAAGATCTATCTAAACTCTTTGAGTAGTCAAATGTTCAAAACAAAGGCTAGATAAAATGCCAATTGGTATGTTACCAATCTTTTTATTATGTAAAATATATATGCAAAATATGTGTGGGTCTGATTTCCAGATTAATGAATGTTATTCTTGGACTTGAGAGCATATTTGGCATCATTGTAAATTATTTTTGTTCTTATCATTACAGTCTACTTTGTTGCATAGCCTCCCTAAAAAATTACAGAATTTAAAATCTGGCAGCATTCATAACCTTCATTTATACAGTATTTTAACTGGATGAAGTAAACATTTTTATATATTGGTTTAGCACCTTAGAGTGCTAATAAAGAAAAAAGCTTAATGAATACCTTGACTACAAAACATTTCTGTCCCATATTTTTGGCAGAAGAACGATATATTGATACTTTCTGTTTTGTGTTTAGGAACTATTTAATCGGTTTTATATATGCATTTTTAGAAATTTCATCAGCTTCTATTACCATTTTAACTCTGACTACCACAAAGTGTTAAGTATTCATTGTTAGATGCTTGTACAATGCTCCATGTTGTATTTATTTCATGGAGGTCTCATAATGTTTGTGTATCAAAAGTAAGACCTTTCTTTTATGAACATTTTTTAATAAAGTTAATGACACAATTTCCATTTGTATTTAGCATTAGTTTTCGGGTCTGTCAGCATTTTTGTCACACCTTATTGTAGGGTGTTGAAAGTGCTACTTTATAACTACATGGGGGACAAAACTTGCATTATATAATGTTTTCAGGGCAAGGACATATTTATCCTCCGTTTTTGGAGGAGAGTGCAGTTGTAGAAGGACAGGTGTAGTAGCAAAGCTACATAAACACAAGATGTTTTTAAGGAGACAGGATAGCTTTAGTTACTAAGGTATCTGCAAACCTTTACTTTCAGGCAATTAGGCCCACTGACAGCAATTTGAGGGTTTACAGGATTGGGACTTGATTTTAGTAAATATTTTTTATATTTACATAGTTAAATTGTGTTTTGAGGGTTGGATAGGTGGTGTCTCACTGCCAGCCACTGATTACTGCATATTTTCTATATTAAAAAACAAAACAAAACAAAAAACAGAACAAAAAAAAGACCCACTCAGGATTTTTATTCTGCACTTACAATATTTACAATTTTTACAGTAGGCCCAGGGAACGTAAATGAATTTTTCTTCTATATTCTTTTCAAATGACCCTGGAACTGGAAAGTGGTTATAATACCAATATAACTCCCATCTTCTCAGTTGTCGTTCTCCATTATATTTATGATGGACCAAGAGAGTGAAGTTTAACAAAAACACCCCCCGCCCCTCCCAAAAAAAACAAAAACAAAAAAAACCCATAAAAAGTCTATGATATTAATTAGTGTGCACTCAGTGCTGGCAGATCACTAAAACAGCCTGTATTTGGCTAATATCTACGCTATCAAATTAACAATATCTGAAATGTGATCACAGCTCTTCATCATGGCACAAGCAGAAGTCTCTGTGGGACCAATATCCAAAGAGCCTCCTATCTGGTGCATGTTCAAAATTGTTGCTCTCCCGTGGGCATATATATTTGAGGAAATTATGTGCTGAGTCACACAAGTATTTGACCTTTTCATGTGCCAATTTTGTGTGCAAAAATATAGACCTTTTGAAATTTGACCCTCTGGGGCAGGAGTGGAATATGCTACATTTAATAATTTACCCCCTACTTTATTATTACTGTATAACTTCCACTTATACAAATAAATGTTTTCTCCTATAGCTATGGTGAGCAGTGGTTCTTTAATTAAAATAGGCTGCAGGAAGTCCTGGTGGATCATTATCAGAATAGATAGTTATAGATATAGGGAATTTTGGTCCTGCGTTTTCTTTATATTTTGTTTTTGTGTCAAAGTTCTGATATTTTTGCTTATAACTGTAGCATACTGTGAAATCTAATGAAGATTATGTTGTCTGTCTTGAAAGCAAACATTATGTGACCTCTGGTAATAAATTCTTTTCAGAAAAAAGTCTCAAACTTTTGAGTAAATTAGTTTGTCAGAATTATTGTAAATGATTGCTTTGTGAATTGTGCAGATGATCTTACCTATGCAGCTTTGGTTTTGACTTTTCTCTGGTTTGTACTGTTATTAAAAGTATATTGTATTATAAAGCTGTTCAGATATTTTAAATATAAAGGTGTATTGTTTCCATAATATAACTATATGATATATGTTTAGGTAGTAGATGCATTAATGGAAAGCTCTACTTTGATAAACTGACAAATTGCCTACATTTATAAGCAAAAGTTGTACTGCTTATTATTGGTTTAAGTCAAAAGAGCATCCCAAGGGAGAGGGGAGAAATTAAAATTGGACCAATTATAAAATAGTATAAAATTTGCACTTGTTAAACCACTGGATGTATGTTATATTTTTTTGGTTTTTTTTTAACTGATTTGAAGTTCATATTTTCATGATAAAATTGCTAGGATTTTTAATTTATAACTGATTTTTAGATGTCATTTTTTGTAATCATTACATAAAAATGCAGCATGGTTTATGCAAACAAAAAAAAACCTTGGCATTAAAACTAGCCTCCTTTTTGAGGGTGTTCCACAAACCAGCAATATCACCAGAAAATGACTTGTGAGTAGTGTAACAGCACTTTTGTGTTTCACTGCTCTTATTCAGTAACATCGCAGAATTAAAGTTCATATTTGGATATTTTTGGAGAAGTGCCTGATGTACCTACAGACACAAGAACAATCCTTCACTGTTGTATAAAGCCATATATGTATATAAATTATGTTTAAAAGGTATTGTGTCCTTTCTTGTATACTGGGAATGAGATTTGTACCAGGATTCTACTTGTGATTAGTGGTGGTTATATTCAAACACTGTAATAAATTGCATTCCTTCCTGCCTAATATTTTTAATAATGATGGTCCCATTTTGGCAATCTTGTTGGCATTAGCAATTTTATGTAGAAAAATACCTCTTGGTACCAAGACTTGTAGTTCAGCAAGGTGATACCATATTGATAAGCAAACACTAACTGCAAAATAGCTAACAAATTTTTCCAGTACTTCATTTAAGGGGAATTCTTGGAATCCCTTCTAGAATTGGGACTTTACCAGGTACAGTAACTTAATAGGGCTGTGTACTAAGTATTTTGTCACAACATAGTGTGATAAAGGTAACTTGTTACAAGATTTTTTGGATTAAACACAAGAAGAATCCATGCCTGAGTTGACAAGATATATTGTGTAGAGATACTTTGTTGCTGGAAGCTGCTTTACACTGTTCAAACATTGATGCCATTGGTTCAACAAACCTAATTCCAACAAAATTGCAAAAATTCCTGAAATCCCTTCAGAATGCATATTTGTAAGTATAAGCTTTTAATAAAATTGCTATGATGAGAGATGGTGATTAGTGTATAAGAATACTGTATAATACATTTTAGAAAATGTGAAACAAAAGCTTACATAAAAACCATAGGAAGGAATTACTTTTGTTAGCACACATTTACAGAGAACACCCTAAAATCATTATATGTGAGAAGGGAAACAAATTTTGCTGCCTCTCCACCTCCACGCCCTCCAAACACCAAAATCTTTATTATAACTTGATGCTGCTTACTCCAGAAATAAGCAGTGTGGTTGACTATTTTCTGAAATGGGAAAGGAAGTGTTTATAGCAATTTTATGAAGTCAAAGATAATTAAATTTATTAGCTGGAGCATGGTAGTTCCAAGTTTTTGCTATGCTTAAATTTTTAATCAAATTTCCCTAATGAAGAGATTTAAAAAATCATATTGTCTCCTTTCTTCCTTCTCTTTGTCTTCATTTCTATTTTGTTCATTTCTTCCTGCTTTTCCACACCCCCACTGGTGAGCAATGCTTTCCCACCCATTATAACTGCAATTTATAGGCCAAATTGTGTAGTTACCTTATTATGCAAATAGTTTTTTTTCAATTGGGGGCAACTCCCATGAATAAAGAGAGCAAGATTTGGCCCCATTTCATATTTAGGTTGTGTTTCTAAATAGAACTGAGAGGGGCTAAATTCCAGTTATATGAAATAACTAATAACCTCCTTTTTTCTTCCTACAAATTAAATAACAATTTTCTCAGAGCTCTACAAAAGTAGGAGGAGGGAAAGGAATTACAGAAAGGACTGATTTCAGCTTCTGTTCAAGTAACTGGCCAAAAAAAACCACCTACCCTTATTGACCTTAAAACAATCAGGACTGGACCAGAAGAAGTGAAAGGGGGATGACTTTTCCATTTCCTTCATTTTGCAGTTCCATATATCTGGGCCTTTCCTTTTGTCTCTCCTGCAGTTTTCAAGTAAATGATGAGGGAGGGGGTTGTTGTGTTTAAGCAACAAAATACATTTCTAATAATAATAACAGAACTAGAAGGAGCCACAGGAGATCAAGTTCAGTCCTGTGCACTCATGACAGGACCAAACACCATCTTGACCATCCCTCACAGGTATGATGGAGATTCGACAACTTCCCTACGCAATTTATTCTAGTGCTTAACCATCCTGACAGGAAGTTTTTCTAATGTTCAATGTAAACCTCCCTTGCTGCAATATAAGCCCATTGCTTCTTGTCCTATCATCAGAGGTTAAGGAGAACTATTTACCTCCCTCTTCCTTGTAACAGCCTTTTAGATATTTGAAAGCTGTTATGTCCACTCTCTTTTCAAGATGAAACAAACCCAGTTCTTTCAATCTTCCCTCATATGTCATGTTTTCTAGACCATTAATCATTTTTGTTGCTTTTTCCAGTTTGTTCACATCTTTCCTGAACTGTGGTACCCAGAACTGGACACAGTACTCCAGTTGAGGCCTAATAAGTGCAAAGTAGAGCAGAAGAATTATTTCTCATGTCTTGCTTACAACACTCCTGTCGATACATCCAGAATGATGGGGAATGGTGGGGGGAGTTTGCAATAGTATCACACTGATTCATTTAGCTTGTGGTCCATTGTGACTCCTGGATCTCTTCCTTTTGTTCTCCTTCCTAGGCGGTCACTTCCCATTTTATGTGTGCTTCCATACTGACTTGAAGACATCTCACTTGTGCTGCCCTGTATGGACTACTTTGCATTTGTCCTTATTGAATTTCACCCTATTTACCTCAGACCATTTCTTCAGTTTGTGCAGATCATTTTGAATTTTAATCCTATCCTCCAAAGCATTTTCAATTTCTCCCATCTTGGTATAATCCACAAACTTTATAGGCATACTTTCTATGCTATTACAGGCCGTCCTTGCTATAAGTCCAAGATACATTAAAAAAAATTGGACTTATAGAGCGGGGAATGCGAGGACTTATAACACATCAGTTCCTACAAGCATCAATGACTTTAGTGTGGAATGATGTATACTGGGGTGACTTATAATGGGGATGCCTTGTATCTAAATCATTGATGAAGGTATTGAACACAAGTGATCCCTGTGGAACCCCAGTCAGTATGCCCTTCCAGCATGAGTGTGAATCATTGATAACTACTCTCTGGGAATGGTTATCTAAACAGTTATGTATCCACCTTTACAGCAGCTTCATGTATGTTGTACTTCCCTAGTTTGTTAAATGAGAAAGTCTTGCGAGATTGTATCAAAAGCCTTTCTAAAATCTAGGTATACCACATCTACTGCTTCCCCCTTATCCACAAGGCTTGTTCCACTCTCAAAGACAGCTATTTGGCTGGTTTGACATGATTTGTTCTTTACAAATCCATGTTGACTTACTTATTACCTTATGATCTTCCAGATGTTTGCAAATGGATTCTGTAATTATTTGTTCATCATTTTTCCTGGTACACAAATTAAGCTGACTAGTTAGTAATAAGGTTATCCTTATTTCCCTTTTTATAGATGGGTACTATATTTGCACTTTTCCAGTCTTCTGGAATCTGTCTTTCATGACTTTTCAAAGAGATTAGCTAATGGCTCACAGGTCTCCTCAGGAAGTCTCTTGAATGTTCTAGAATGCATTTCATCAGTCCCTAGTCACTTGAAGACTTCTAACTTGTCTAAGTAATTTTTAACCTGCTCTTCTTCTATTGTAGCTTCTGAACCCCATTTTCACCAGCATTCACTGTGCTAGACATCCATTCACTACCAACTGTGTCGATGCAAACCAAAACAAAGAAGTCATTAAGTATCTCTGCCAATTTCCACATTTTCTGTTATTGTTTTCCTCTTTTCATTGAGTAACAGGCCTACCCAGTCCTTGTTCTTCCTTTTGCTTCTAATATATTTGTAAAATATTTTCTTGTAACCCTTTATGTCTCTAATTATTTTGAGCTCATTTTATGCCTTATCCTTTCAAAACTTGCTTCTACATACTTGTTTTTTTATCCTCATCCTTTGTCATTTGACCTTGCTTCCACTTTTTGTAGGACTCCTTTATTGATTTTTTTTAAAGATCTTTCAAAATCTCATGGTTAAGGCAAAATCTGTTGCCATACTTATGATCTTTCCTATGCACTGGAATACTTTGTTCTTGTGCCCTTAATGATGTTTCTCTGAAAAAGTGCCAATTGCATAAGTATCTCCATTTTGATAGTTTGGAAATGCTGAGTGCTGAAGAAAAATTATAATAACTAATGAGTCAAATGATTTGCATATTATTCATAATAGTGCTGGAAATAATTGCTTATGCAAATTCTTGACTAGTAATAGCTGTTGGTCAATTGCACTGGACAGGTAGTTACAAATGTCACTGAGAAATAACTTTACAATAATTGGCATTACTATCAGATTTGAATAATCCAAATACAGGGAGTAGACTAACACGGGAAGGAAAAACTGCTGTGTAGAACTGAAGCTGTGCAGCATCCCTCTACTCTGACTGGCAATGGCAATTTTATTTTGGTACAATACATTTTACAGAAATGCTGGTAACATCCTTATGTTAAAATATTCTAATTGCAAGTACAAAGAAAGGCAACATTGAGGGGGAAATAATACATATTTTGCTATAATGCCTGAAGAAAAATTAACTTCCCAAGAAAATGCATCCCTTCTATTTGAGTCATGTGTCACTCCCTGACCATTAAAAAGTGCTCTGACCCATCTGCTAAAGTGATACCTAAATGAGTAGGCCCAGAGCAACAACCACCTCACTTTGTAATTGTTTCACCTATTTCCG